TCCCATTCAGCCACGGCAGACACCCACCCTCCCTCGCTCGTTCCTGCCCCACTTGGGACCACACCGGAATCCCAGTTGATCCTAAATAACCAGAAGCGATAGCAAACACCCCCAATCTCAGTGACTTAAAACCACACACAGCTGGGGCCTGTGTTGTGGCACAATGGGTGGTCGCTGCCTGCCATGCCGGCATCCCATATGGGTGCTGGTTCAAGTCCCGGCTGCTCCACTTCCACTCCAGCTCCCTACTAATGCGCCTGGGAAAGCAGCGGAGGACAGCTTAAGTGCTTGGGCCCTGCACCCACATAGGTGACCCCAAAGAAGCTCCTGGCTCCTGGTTTCCACCTGGCCCAGCTCCAGCCGTTGTGACCATTTGGGGAGTGAACCAGTGGGTAGAAGATCTCTCCTTTCTGTCTCTTTCTCTCTCTCACTATAGCTCTGCCTTTCAAATAAATAAAATAAAAAATAAAATAATTTTAAAAAAAACCACAATTTCTGTGGAAAACCATATGGTAGATCCTTAAAAAATAAAAATAAAATTATGTGGCCAGGAATTCCACTTCTGGATATATATCCAAAAGAATTGACATCAGGAGCTCAAATAGATTTTTGCATAACCACACTCACACAGCAGAATTCACCCTGGGACGGAGGTGGAAGCAGCCTGAACGCCCATTAGTGGACGGAGGGATAAACAGTGTGTGACGGACGCATTGGAATGTTACCCAGCCTCAGACAGAAAGGAGCTGCTGGGCTAAGCCTCTACTGGCGGCACCTGCACCCCATGTCAGAGTGTTGGTCCGAGTCCTAGCCCTCTGCTTCTTGTCTAGCTTCTTGCTGATGTGCCTGGGAAGCAGTAGATGATGGCTCAAGAACTTGAGTCTCTGCAGCCCATGTGGGCTTTGCAGAAAGAGCCCTGCTCCTGGCTTTGACCTGGTCCAGCCCCAGCCGTTGCAGTCATTTGGAGAACGAACCAGCGGATGGAAGACCTCTCTTTCCCTGTCTATCTTCCTTCCTCCCTTTCTCCTCCCTCTCTCTCTCTCTCTCTCTCTCTCCCTTTCCCTATCTTTCTTCCTCTGAAATAAATACATACATAAACCTTTTTTAAAAGGTTCTGGGATGGGGTGGTAGTGGTGGATTTCCAACTCTATGATTGTACTTAATGCCGCCGAACTCTACACTTCAAAATGGTTAAAATAGTAAATTGTTTGTATATTTTACCACAATTTAAAAAAAAAACATGGAGAAACCGTGAATTAATTTACTGAATAATTATAAAACCCCCACACGGTCTCCTTTCCTGCCCGTGTCACGTGTCACTCGCAGGTCTGCAGAGGTACGGGCTCTGCTGGCTGAGTGTGCAGGGACCGGCCATCTGGAGGAGGCCACCGGGGGTGTCACGGTGGCAAGGCGCTGGGCCCTGTCATACAGCCCCATTCAACTTCAGGGAGCCAGGAAGTGAGTGGCACCAGGGGCCTCCAAGTGTAGGGGACGTGGCATATTCAGCCCCCATGACAACCGCAGGGTCCCTTAAGCCTCTCGCTGGCAACAGGTCCCACTACCATCTTCCCCGCCATGGACCCAGAGAAAGGCAGCATCCCTGCGCTCAGGTGGAGAGGGGCTGCTTAGGTCTGCCTTGGTCCCCAACAACCTGGTAGACTTTGTGTTCTTGTCGTTAGTCCCCTACTCGAGGCCTGCCACCTGCCTTACCCAGTAAGGGAGCCCTGCGCCCCCTCCCGTGGCTCCCAGACCAGGTAGGCAAGCCCGCAGTCATGTGATGCCCCCCCCAGGCACCCCCACCGGGAGAACTACATCCTGGACCACTTTCAGTGTGGGGTCTTCACCCGAAACAAACGCTGACGGTCCTCTAGCTGCCGTCCAGGTGGGGTGGTTGTGTGTCAAGACCGCCGCCCGGCAAGGGAGTGATCGATCGCAGCCTGAAGCAGTCAGCACAAAGGAATTCAGCCGCCAGAGTGCAGAGATCGGAAGTCCAGGCTTGGCGATTCGGAAAAGGACTACACCAAAGGCTCAAATGCCAGCTCTAGAGCTTTTCTCTTCTGTCCCGTCCGCTCCCGCTACGCTGCCATCTTTCCCTCCTGCTTTAGGTGAACTTCACACGGCCTTGGGCGATGGCTCCCAGCTCAGAATTCCAGTGGAAGAAGATGTGTTTCCTTTCCTAGGAAGTCCCCTCCGCGGCCCCCAGGCGTGAAGCTCCAGGGCCTTTAACAACCTCCCCCCCAACGGGAAGCTCCAAGGTTCTGCTTTGTGTTTTTCCATCATCAGCCCCGGAGGAGTGGCCATTCCCTGCAGGAAAGTCCAGGATGACTTCAGTTGTCTGGCTTTGGGTACAGACCCTTCCTAACTGGAGCTCTGTGCCAGCGGGCGTCACATGCCCCCGCCCGCCCCCCGCCCCCAGGGGGCCCTGGGAAGAACAGACCCAGCCGGCACCCTGTGGAGTAGGGGCAGGGTTGCTCCCCAGTCAGAGGGTGCTGGGCGAACTGCGTGCACTCTGCCCGTGACCACCTGTGGACGCCCCGCATCCCTGTGCTTTGCCTCCCATTTCAAAGATGCTTCTAGTGCTAGACGGAATGACAGCTGCCCTTTGTGAATGTCCAAGATACCACTGAGTCGTATACTTTAAAATGAATGAGTGCTATACGAATTGCATCTCAAGAAAAGTGATTAGTGCACAGTGCCCACCTGCTAATAAAAAGATGCTCTGCTTCCAAAGGGAGACCGTGTGAGCCACGGCCAGTTCCGCGATCGGGATCCCTGAGTAACAGGGTCCATGAGACCTCTCACTCCTGTCTCCTGGGGCTAACTGGCAAACCCAACCCCCACACAACCCCGCCATCGCACAACCCCTATGAAGAGAGGGTGGATTTTCCACAATAGAAGGTGACTTTGGAAGGGGATGGGGAGAGAAAGAGAGTGCAGGAGTCACTCCCCCACACCCTGCGGGCAGGGCTGGAAATGGAGCCTGGTCACGGCCCAGCTTCCTGGGAGGCCCCGCCCCTCCATCCGTCACCCTCAGTGGCCGCACCTGAGGCCACTGAGGGGAGGAGCAGCTTCCTGCTGGCATGGCCAGGTCTTCCTGGGGATTCCCTGGGGCTGAGCAGTCACCGGGTCTGGGGATTGCCCTGTCGCTTCCTCCAGCCCTGAGCCACAGGCCAGGTGGCTCCTTTGCTGAGAACGCCATGGCCCACGGACTCGTCAGGAGCTGGTCGTGAAAGCCGGTGCCGCTGAGATGACTCCGCGTGGCCGCCGTAGACAGGGAGCGTTGCAGCAGTGAGTGGGGAAGTGGTCCGTGGCCCTGAAATAGCATTATCCTCATTTATGGAGCCGCTAGACACACCCGTCGTGCTTGACTCGTGTACACAGTGCTCGTACTCAGCGGTTTCACCCTCTTACTGAATTTCTCACCGGAACTTGCGCACACTTCAAGATGCTGGTTCAGCCCCTTCTCCAGCAAACATCTCAGCCCTTGCTTCTCACTCCAGCATGAGCCTCCAGACAG